AGCTGTGTTTGGTCCAACTTAAGATGTGGGCTTTGGATTCACATGAACCTGCCTTTGAATGGAGTGACGGTTGGTTTTCTGCTGCAGTCACTGAATGCCCGAGGCCAGATAATTTATCAAGAAGAGGCATTTATTTGTTCTTAGAAGTCCAATTGCATGAGGCCATATCTGTTCGGCCTATGATGGAGCTACTTCCTGCCTCCCAACAGAATGAAGGGTGCCACATGCTGAGATACACTGAAGTGCCAGAAAGAGGTATTAAGAAGCCACTTCCTCAGTAACTCATTAATCCATTTATGCAGGCAAATGCTCACCACCACATCTCCCAAAGGACCTGCCTTCAAGTGCCGCTAAGATGAATCAGAGCACCGAGTGTCCAGACATGACTGGTGAATGGCTGTCCCCCCTTGGAAGCTGAGCAGGCATGGGCAAATTACCTGACTCTTCTGAGCCCTGAGTCTGCTGGTAGATGACATGTGGCAGCCACCACAGGATGGACATGGAACATGCAACATAAAGTGTTTTAGAATAATCTTTCTAAACTGGGTGGTAGGAGGCAGGAGGATAGCCAAAAAAGTTCAAGTCTAGCCTGGTCTACATAGTTCCAGGCCAGCCATAACTACATAGCAAGACCTTAGGGGTGGTGGCAGGGAGAATGAAAGAAAAAGAGAGTGGGCCTTTCTCCATGGTTTTAACTATGTACATATTTCATCAACATGTGTATATTCACATGTACATGTCTATGTGCATGTGTGTGTACGTGGGTGGGAGGGCCGACGGTTAACAAGTGCCTCCCTCTACTGCTTTCTATCTCAGCCTTTTCTGTTTCTCTTTTCTTTCTTTTTTGTTTGAGGTAAGGTCTCACTGTGTAGCCCTGGCTGGCCTGGAACTTGCCCTGTAAACCAAGTTGGCCTCGAGATCACAGAGATCAATTGCCTCTACCTTCCGAGTGCTGGGATTAAAGGCATGCGCCGCGCCCATCTTCCATCTTAATTTTCGAGACAGAAGATCACTAAACCTGGAGCTCACTGATTGGTGAGATGCACTGCTCAGTGAGCTCCAGGAACCCACCTGTTACCAACCAGAAGCACTGGGCTTGTGGCTGCCTGTGACCATGCCCAGCTTTTTCCATGGGTGCTGGGGACCTGAATTCAGCGGCTCACCAAGCCATTTCCCCAGCCCCTTTAAAACCCTACACTTTTAAAATAAAACAGAGACTTCCATCTGTTCTGGTGTCAGCTTGGGGCCCAGTAAGAATCTGCTCCCTCTCCCCCAGATACCTATATGCAACAGCCTGGCACCGCCCCCTTAGTCCTATACCCTGTTCCTACAGGACATACCAGCCTTTAGTAGGAGATACTTGAACCTGATCTCTCACAGTGATGGGGGGGGAGGTTCGGGAGGGGGCGGCAGACCGGACGGTGGCAAGGGGGAGATACCATACTTTTTCGTTTATTATTAAGAGACACAGTGTTTCCCACCCCCTGTGCCTGTGAGGTTTTCTGTCCACTGAAACCAAAGGCAAGTCACCATTTGTTTTTCCTAGCCTGGGGAAATAGCCTTCTGACCCCAGCAAGGGTTTCTTAGTCCTCCCAAGCATCTGTCACCACACTTTCTGAGGGTTCCCAGCCTGCATATCCTGTGCCCCGGGTGCCCTTGAACCTGTGCACCGCTGTACTCTGCTTCCTAGGTCAGGTTGCAGAGCAACCTGGGTAGTGTGTTGTAGGGGCTCAAGGAGGGGGTAGGACCCCAGTCCTAGAGTCCTTCCGGAGGTTCAGACGCTGACTTCCTGTAACAAGTTGATCCATCAGCTACAGGCATGCCCTCCTAAGAATGAGCTGTGGCTTTAATAGTAAAAATGAAACTGTTGTCAAGTTCCTCTTCTTTGCTCCCCAGCCCCTGGTGGTGAACTCCCTCCCCACTCTGAGTCAGTTTCAGAGTGGTGGTATCAAGGCGGAAGTGCTGGTGTCTGGGCCTCTCTTGGTCTCTGCACAGAGAATATCCTTGCAGACAGGATGCCTCTGCCCACACACCTCCATCAGGGCAGAGCTCTGGTGATGCCATAGAGGAGTCAGGCTCCGAGCCAGGATGAGGCAATTCTCTTGCCGTTGCCAAACAATATGTTAGACTGTCCGTTTGAGTAGATGGGTCCTGTACCTAACCTGACATGGCAACTCAGGAGACGCAGACCCTGCATGGGGTAAACAGACCTTCTCAGTCTCCAGGTAGATGGAGGAAGCCCGCTGAGTCAGTGAGAGTTCCTGCTTCTCATACCCTCCCAGGGGCTTTCTGAGTAGATGGCCGCAATGATTCTTTGTAAGGTAACATTCACACATTTTTTTCTTAAAAAAAAAAAAAAACCTATTCAAAACATCATGTGGCTATGAATGAAAAAGAGAAGAACTGAGGTGGAACTGGCTGGCATCTGAGTTCTGGCCTCTTCAGATTTTCCTGGCCCCACACACACACCATCAATTCACTCATAGCCCTCCTCAGCTCTTCCCCACCGTGAGGCATCTGCTGGCCATGCCTTTGCCCTACCCTCTTAGTGTCCTACCTGGGCTTCCTCGTATCCTCAGAGAACTGTGCGTTCAGACCACTGACCAGTCAGCAAGTTCCTAACTGGGGCCACATATGCCTGCCTATCCTCAAGCTCAGGATGAGTCCTCAGCTGACCTCTTCAAGTAGGTGGGGCCACTGAGCCCTGTCCTCTTCTACCCTAACCACGTAGAAGAACCCCGGAGAAGCAAATCTTTTCCTGGTGGCCCAGCAGAGGGTTCTAAAATCCTAATCCAGTTGGCATTGGTTGGCCATGGTATAAAACAAACTGGAGCCTAGTGCTGAGGAGGCTGAGGCCAAAGACTTTCCTAAAGTTTGGTAGTGAGTTTGAGGCCGGCCGAGGTTAAAATGTAAGTCTCTACCTCAACAAAACAAAGCGTATATGGAATAGAAATAATTCCATTTGTTGCACCCCATTAGGAAGGAAGGAAGGTTGAGAAGGAACATCAGGAGCCCAGAAAAGGGGTCCAGCTATGGGGACCACCAACCCAAAATGCTGGGTGGAAGGGGAGTAGAGCCTGGATCTGACCCTTCCTGGAGACCTAGGCAGCTGCAGAGCCTTGAGCAAGCATTCACTCTCCCAGCTCTCCTCTCTCTACTGGACACGCAGACGGCACACTCCGCATGTGTCTTGGCCCCCGTGTGTATGTGTGCACAAACTTTGTGCATGGCTCAGCTGCTGTGCTACCCAAAGTGACGAGGCTTTCTTTCACCCTGCCTTGTAGGAGGGTAAGAAGGGACCCTTGATTCTTACCTGGCTGCCCATTTGAACTTCATCAAAGCAGTGAAGTTAGGGGCTAGGACTCTTCCCGCCAACCAGTCCCCATCAGCTCCCTGCCTTTCCTCATGCCCTGGAGAAACAGAGCTCTATGCTCCAGGCTGATCCGGAACCTCCAAGGCTTGTTTGTGTAACCCTGAGGGAGGAAGAGAGACCCAGGGGCCAGGGAGACTCTGGTATGGGAACCCCCTGAAAACAACTGGACCCCAGATGCAGCCCCGCCTGATCCTGTGTGTGTCTGGGTTCAGGAAGGCTGAGAGACTTGCATCCTGTGTATCAGGCAGTGTTCTGACCTTCCTGAATGCATCTCATCAGCTGCAGGGTGCAGGCTAACTCCTCTATACTTTACAGACCAGACCCAGGGGCTCAGTGGTGGTTTCCTAAGGCCACTAGAGCAGACAGACCCAGAAGTTTATTTCAATACATTTCTTATGGCTATGGATGTTAGAAGTCTAAAATCAAGGTGTGTGGGGGTTGGTTCTTGGAAGTTTCAAGAATTCATTTAGTTGATTTTTCTATCTTCTTGACGCTCCTTGCATTCCTTGGCTTGGGACCCTTTTTTTCTAATTTCAAGGCGTGACACTTCTAGTTTCATGGTCAACTCCTTTTGTGATGTCACCCTGACCCCTTATCAGCATTTGATAAGGTCTCCTGTGATTACAATGTGGCTGACCTCCCTCCAATATTGGGGATGATAAGTCTTCCTGTCCCAACATCACCCACAACACTGATGGCTTTGCCCATGGCAATGTGTGTGCTCTCTCTATCTCTCTCTGTCTGTCCCTGTCTCTCTATGTCTCTGTATCTCTGTCTCTGTGTCTGTCTCTCTCTGTGTATGTCTCTGTATCTCTCTGTGTCTGTCTCTGTGTCTTTGTCTCTGCCTATTTGTCTCTGTCTCTGTGTCTCTCTGTCTCTTTCTGTCTCTCTGTCACACACACACACACACACACACACACACACACACACACACACACGCACACACTTCCCAGCCAGGACAAGGCCAGCCCAGCAGCTAGCCTGTAGTTAGGACTGACAGGCCAGGAGGTGAGTAGGTAGCTCTTGTGACATCTAGGAACCACAGCCTTGCTTACCACCCCTCTGTGTCTCTAACAAGTTCCCAGCATCGGGCAACCTCTTCCTAATGCTCCAAGGCTCATCTTCCTGACTGACCCAGTTCTTTCTTTTAAAGAACATTTGCTGTGTAGCTACTATATCCCAGGCTCCAGGACAAGGGACAGAACCACACAGGCCTGCCCTGTGACACTGAGAGCCCATCCAGCAAAACAAAGGCATGTGGTGCTTCCCAGATTGACAGCATGCTCCAGGAGGGGCCACGTGCACAATAGTAAGTCCTCTTAGCCACACACGTAGGAGGTGCCAGGAATACCAACACTGACAAGCATGCCAACTCTTGGAAATGTGAGGTCCGTCAGAACAATACAACATTGTGCTCGGCTAAATTCTTATTCTTTCTCTTTTTTGACATAGGGTCTCACAAAGTAATCCTGGCTGGCCTAGAACTCAATACGCAGGCCAGGCTGGCCTCAAACAAAGCTGAGATCTGCCTGCTTCTGCCTCCTGGGAGTAAAGGCATGGGTCACAGCACCCAGCAAACTAAACTAAAAATATAAATAATTAAAACACGTGAACTCGAGACACTGCCATGATCATCCCAGTTCGCTGCTTTACCTGCGGGAAGATCGTCAGCAACACATGGGAAGCCTATCTGGGTCTGCTGCAGGCCGAGTACACCACAGGGGATGCCCTGGATGCTCTGGGCCTGAAGTGCTACTGCTGTCGCTGCCCGTGGCTAGCACACAAGGACCTGATTGAAAAGCTGCTCAACTATGCTCCCCTGGGGAAGTGACTGCTGGAGCTTACTGTCCTCCTCTGCTTGTCATGGACAGTCTGCCATGCTGAGTTCAAACTGAGGTGTTGGGGAGGTGGGGGGGGGGGTGCCTGGCTGTGGCCAGGTCCCCTCACCCTGGAAGAAACAGTTCAGTAAAGACCTTTGCAGAAAACAAAACAAAACAAAACAAAACATGTTAACTCTTCGGAATGTCACATACATACAATCCTAGCTGCTCAAGAGGCTGAGGGTGGAAGATCACAAGTTTTGAGCTCACCTGGGGTACATTGCACACATGGGAACCCTTTAGAAAGGATGTATAGTTCTCAGGTGAGAGTTTACTCATTCTGGGTCTAGTCTTTCTGAAAGTGGGTCATGATACTTAACAAGTTTGAAGCATCACATCCCTATGCCTTCCCCAGCCATCTCACACTTGGCCTGCAGACATTCCATCCTCCATGTGGACAGGGACAGGGCAAAGAAGGATGCCCTGCAGGGGCACCATTGATGGGCAAATAGTGCACAACAGAGCTGTCCACAGGAGACTGAGGAAGGCAACTGTGTTGAGCCCTCCAGAGGGGATTCTTACTAGCAAACTTCTTGAAACAAAGGAACCCATTTCTCAGTATGCACTGTGTCCTGTGCACTAAAAGCCGGTCTCTGCGCTCTACTGGGCCTCTTCCAGAAGAAAGCAGAGAGGAGCGCCATGCGGACAGGAAGATGTTGGAGGCTAATGAGCGCCCTAAATCGATGAAGACATAGCCCAGGTCTGGAGTAGCGGTGCCAACAAGGGTGCAGAAATTTGGACCAGAGGATTTGTACAAGTTAGAGCCAGTGTCTAGGACGTCTTAAAACCTACAGACCCCTACGATACCGGGGGCTAACTGAATAACAAACTCAGGGACTGGAGGAAAGAGGGGCAACAGACTCCGGAGGGGAGGTACGGCTTCTCCTGCCCACTGAAAGGGGGAGGGGGAAAGGGACAGGAGAAAGTTGGCTGCAAAGGTAGCAGAAGCTGCAATAAGCAGGGAGAGGAGGCTGGAGTTGGCTAAGATGGCCACGAGGTCTAAAGTTTGGTGGCCAGAAGGAGAAAGAACCTTGCAGGAGGTGGAGTTGGTAAACAGGACACACATCTTTTGGTGAGTGTGCTAAGCCTCTCAGAATTTTAACAAAATGAAAGACCAAAAAACATTTTTGTTTCCCAGACCTAAGCTAGAAGCAGGAAGTCCTTCTTGCTGCCCTCCTCTTTTTTTTTTTCTTCTTCGAGACAGGGTTTCTCCGTGTAGTTTTGGTGCCTGTCCTGGATCTCGCTCTGTAGCCCAGGCTGTCCTCTAACTCACAGAAATCCACCTGCCTCTGCCTCCTGACTGCTGGAATTAAAGGCGTGTGCCACCATCCCCACTCCCATCCCACCCCCAACCCTGCCTCCTTTATTGTGGACTTTTTTCACCAGGTTAGTAAGAGTTGTGGTGTGGGCTACTCCCTGGGGCAAAGACATCAGTCCTGGGGCAGCCTGGGCTCCACAGGCCCTGAGCTAGGAGCTGAGGATGACCCAAAGAATAAGCATCTAGGATGGGTACACTCGGTTGTCAAGTAACAGGTTCACCAAGGACAAGCTGGAGACTGTGTCTGTGAGACTTACCTTGATTACAGCCGTAGATGTGGGAAGGCTGGTTCCAGAGGCTGCACCATCCCCTGGGTGGGGGTGGGTGGAGGTGCGGGGATTGTGGGGGTCCCAGATTGCATCAAAAGGAGACAGGAAGCTGAGCACTGATATTCATCGCTCTCTGCTCCTTGCCTGTGGATGCCACGTGACCAACTGGTTCAAGGGCCTGCTGCCATGCCTTCCACAGCATAATGGACCGTCCGTCCCCTGAAGTGTGAGCCAAACACTCCACCTTCTTTCCATAAGTTGCTTTTGCCATGGCAGGAAGGAATGTAGCCATAGATTCCCTGTTTCCATGGGGCTTGTACTCCATGGGGGAACAGAAAATAACCTCAGTAAAATCGACAATATCTGGTACTAAGCCCCAAGAAGGAAACCGAGGATGATGATGATGTGATGGTGGTCTCTGTTACTTGATGCTGCCAGATTAACTTAGCATCCTCTTGAAAGTTCAAAATGAATTTTGCTAATAAATAAATAAATAATTTGTTTTTATACATTTTGTTTTATTTATTTTTGTTTTACCATGATTGCTTTTTTCCCTCTTTCCTCCCCTGCCCCCCTTTCTTTTTTTCTGAGACAAGGTTTCTCTGTGTATCCCTGGCTGTCCTGGAATTCATTCTGTAAACCAGTCTGGCCTCGAACTCAAAGATCTGCCTGCCTCTGCCTCTGCCTCTGCCTCTGCCTCTGCCTCTGCCTCTGCCTCTGCCTCTGCCTC